AGTGTACCTTTAGAATATGTTATCTGATTTTCATCTTTAAATGTGATACCACATCAGAATATACACGTACGATAATTACTGTTACTCTAACCAGCAGATGTGCTGTTGCTCAACTACTAGGTATATATGCTAATGCCCAACAATAGGAGACATCCATATAATACAGAGATATTTACATGACATAATACTGGTTAGGCGGGTTTCTACAAGAGGTACATATAATACCAAAAATATATTGAATTTTAAAATTGAAATGTTAATTTTTGTCATACTAATCTTTAAACAGTGTGTCGTTTCATTGTTATTTGTCAGTATATACATGTAGTTGACTATTGTTGAAGTCTGTTGATGTTAAACTATATTTTTTGTGTAATGTACCAAATGTTCGTCTACTTTCGATATAGACTCTGTTTCCACTCCGAATTAGAATATCCTTATCGTTAGAGGTGACCATGATGGATTGGGTTGTCAGGACTAGTTTCTATGTACATTTTTATGTCAGCGTACCTCTGCGCTCATAATATGAATCACTTGATTGTCTTGTGCAGTCTCAGGTATCTTGAAATGGATGAAAATATAAATGCACTGTTTAACCAGGTATCATTTGTCATCAATCTGAAAACGAATCTTGCTAAATCCTTCCACTGGAAAGTTTCAGTTATCATACTGGAAAGTTTCAGTTATCATACTGGAAAGTTTCAGTTATCATACACATAGTTGGAGGTCCGCCCCGAACAATATATGTATAAACACAACGATATTACATCGTGCTTCAAATCAGTTCACTTAACAAAGTAATCTTTTGAAGAAAAAGGGAATTTTTCAGATTGCGCGTTATCTATACAACAGGATATACAAAGATGACCAAAAGCTGCCTTGAGAGAATCTTTGTCAACTAAGTAAGTGCTTCCATGTTCTTCATGGTGACATCAGCTTATTTTTGATAAAAGACAAACAGTGATATTTATTATCTTATTATTATGGAATATTTATATAACGCACATATCCGCGCAGCTAGTACATGCTCAAGGCGCTGGTATTTTTTTCTCTGGATCATTGGTTGTCAATCTCAACGGCACATCGTATTAGGAATTTAGCAATCTCAACTCCCCGGGTAATATACAACTCTTGCAGCCTATAGGCGCACCGAGCTATTGCGGCTTTCCCATCCTTACGAGGTACCCATTCACAGCTGGGTGGACTGGGACACATAGTCACTGTACTTTGTCCAAGTTTACTGCACGATGCCGTACCCGCATCGAGGTGCTTGCACGTATTCATGTGGCCACCATCTTGACGTTAATTGACGTTGAAAAGATCCATTACTGTTTTGACATTGAAATACCTACGCCCCAAAGATTGTTTGAGGGGGAAAGGGTTTAAAGTACTGGACTGCAGCACATTCGAATTTCTTTGGCTAATATAAAGCAAAACACTTTGAAGTGTTGAGATTCACGGGCGGGGGTGTTAGTAAGGCTTGCTTACATTGTTTGGCTTGTTGTTGATTGGTTTCACGCCAAGTTCTTTTACGGACTGGTTAACGTTTATTTACTACTTGGGTAAGTTGGGTAGCGTAACACAATGTTGTGGTGTAAATGAAAATATGGAACTGTGGCAAGATGGATGCACATGTCTTCAGATGGCTTCACGTAGTTTCGGTAACTTTGTATCATTTAGTATCTTCAGGTATTTGTGAGTTCAGACATTGAACCATATATTGCTCATGTCATAACTAACTTGGTGCCTACTTTGCGAATTCAGGTTCGAGTTCTGAGTCAACATTGCCTTGTTGATATGAATTACGTGTATACATTCTTAAGAGTACGAACATGAACGGTAACTTATACACAGAATAGACATTATGGGGAATTTTGTCCCTGTGAGCTTGCCCTTGGGCGTAGTTAAATTAACATGATTTAAACTTCAATACTTATAGATCCATTACTTACAGAATGCAATCATATAGCTCTGACATTGTTGACTGCGGCGTTGAATATTCACTCGTCCATAAACTTAGTGTTAATGCTGAATTAGTAAATCAGAGCCTAGTCAAAATAAAAAGTTCACAATTCATATTTGAAAATAAAAATATGAATTGTCATAGTAGACAGTTTTCGGTTATCATGTTATTAATCCCCAAGTATCGACTCAAGAAAAAACTCACCACAGCACATTGAAGTCAATCCAAACATCGTGCACCCAACAATAGTGCTAAAACATGTTTGTTACGTGCCACTGGTCATGTGATCTTATCATTGCACGTGCATTCGGTCGCACGTTTTTCTATCAACTGTACAAAGTGAAAAATCACTTTAAAGCACTATTCAGAACAGCCAACACATATGCCGCGCCTCTCAAATATGCAGCGTGAACGTGCCGTTGGCATGTTGGAAGCGGAACGTCAGTAAGTGACGTTACAAGGACAATGGGGTGCAGCCGTCGGACTGTTTATTGCAACAAACTGGCACCACTGCTGATCGCCCTAGGCCAGGTCGACCACGTGTGACGTCACAGGCGGAGGACTGTCAAATTGTGAACATTACGCCACCTCCGTAACTGTTTTTGACGTCTACAAGAATCAGAAATAAGCTGTTTAAGGAGTCGAATCTCGACACAAACCATCCGAAACCGGCTGCGATCTGCTCACCTTCATCCTACAAGCCTTCCTTGCACGTTTGATAGGCTCTAAGCGTCGTCGATGCACTGCTGTTCTCAATGCCGATGGTGGACATACCCGTTTTTGAGCTTGTGACATGGTCGTTTGACCCCTGTCCCGCTTGTGGACTCGTGACGTCATTGTGATTGACTTTTCAATTGAAATTCTCCCGACTAGTTATGGTCTCATGATCCCTCCATTAAAGTTTATATGTACCTTTGACATTGTTATCGTACTTATCAACTGGGATAATATTTTGTCAATGCACAGTTTCTTTATGTGGCTAGTATAGATTATTTAAACTATCTAGTTTGACTAGTATATAATCACTCACTCGCAACGATAACGAGCCTGTAAATAGCAAATCATTGCCAATGAATTGGCAGATACTTCCAAATTTGTCTTTTCTATTATCAAGCATGTGTAGAATCAAGAAATAGCAACACAAAAACCGAAGCCAGTAATTTTTCCCAAACCAGAACTTTCAGGCTGTTGAAATGCCATTATAACGTTCTTTAACGTCCGATACATTCTGTTACAAATGGCACATGTTTATTCTAATTGTCAATATGGAAATCCACTTGCCACTTACTGTCAATGATTTGCACGTGCACGTCGCTCTATCCATGGAAAATGGAGGACATTACACATGCATTGATGCCTTTTAACTGCCGTTCACTGTTCAGGCACCTGTTTGAAATCGCAGCTTAAAATGATACTTTTTTGGGGTAGGGATAACTCCTACTTGAAGTACTCACTTCATGTTGTCGATGGTAATCTTACCGGACAGCATTATCGGGGGGAGATTCTGACTCCTGTAGCAGTACCATTCCTGCATACTATGCATGGCTTTTATAGTCTACAAAGCCAAAATAACTTACTTTCCGTTCTTGCGGAGACCTAATGGATACTGTGTAATGTAGGTTTCCGCTAGGTTTCAGTATCCGGAAACAGACAAGCGTTTCCGCATAGTTTACAAAACTGAAACTAACAAGTCTTAGCTTCCGCTGTTGCCTTCTTTACTGCAAGAGGACAATACTAGGCTTCACTAGATCTCCCATGACTCTGCAGAGCTCTAGTAGAGGAATGCGATTCCGCACATTGTCTTTATGAACTTAATAAGATGCATGAGAACAAGGTGCACCTGTGTCTTGGACGCGCGAGGAGGGTACACAAGTATTGAATGACCGAGTGCTTCATGTTTGTCATTTTCATTTTGGGGGGTTGGTCTATACAACTGATGTTTGCTAGTGTTGTTTGAACTTTTTGTCTGTATGTCACGATGTGTCACGTTTGTCAGCACATTAAACATGATGATGACTCTCGGTCTCAGTTCTATTATTTTTGAGAAACGTTTCTTTACATGTGCTATATATTCCATATTGGATTGAATTCGGCCATGATAGATGTGTTAGTGTGACACACTAGATGGTTGGAAATTTAAACTGCAATCCTATTTTCTGCTTCGGAAAGAAACGCGAGCTTTGACATACTAGACTGTCCTCAGTTTAGACGAATACAGCCATTATTTCCATTGATGTAACTCCCTTTGCAGTAAACGTACAAATCACTGTGTAACGCGATGTAGAATTTTCTATAGCACCCATAACTACAATTTGTGAAATGCATATAAGGTGTTACACCCATTGCCACAGTGTTATTCTTGAAACATAATGTAAAACCCAACCCACACATTCCTAGTAAGCAGTTGGATTAAAAAATGTACTCGTCATATCTGACTTGGCTATGTCATTATATGAGACTTATATTTTGATGCGTATGTGTTCTGTACCTTGTATTACACTGTTCATGTACCGATTAGGGTTACCATAACCCTGCAGCGTTCGTTTGTTCAGAAGATGTTTCTTGTTAACTTTCTGGCAATTGTTGAAATTAAACGTAAAGATGACTAAGACACGCTCTTAACAATGTCTGGAAGTTGTGGATATCTCATTCAAAATTTCCGGAACTTAATGGCTCTTATACAACTTTACCTGGTGAGCCTTGCCAATGACACTTCGAAAGACAAATTACCCGTGAAGATCCGGGTTAGAATATTGATCTTCAGTAACCCATGCTTGTCGTAAGCGGCAACTAACGGGATCGGGTGGTCAGGCTCGCTGACTTGGTTGACACATGTCATCGGTTCCCAATTGCGCAGATCGATGCTCATGCTGTTGATCACTGGATTGTCTGGTCCAGATTAAATTATTAATAGACCGCCGCCATATAGCTGGAATATTGCTGAGTGTGGCGTAAAACTATACTCGCTCACTCACTCATTCGTAACACAAATAACTTGAATGTCCACAGATAATAAAAGGCAATGACACATCTTGAATAACATTTCTTTTCTATTTATTCATTCCAAACACAATTTAGCAGCATTCACGTTTATCCTTTTTATCTTCTACTCAGTGTAAAGTTCATTTTATGCCCCATGGAATGTTCTCTGTCTAGTTTTTTCCCTTTCCTCGAGCAGAATTCTTTCTGTTTCCTCGAGCAGAATTCTTTCTGTTTCCTTGGGCAGAATTCTTTCTCTTTCCTTGGGCAGAATTCTTTCTGTTTCCTTGAGCAAAATTCTTACTGTTTCCTTGGGCAGAATTCTTTCTCTTTCCTTGGGCAGAATTCTTTCTGTTTCCTTGAGCAAAATTCTTACTGTTTCCTTGGGCAGAATTCTTTCTGTTTCCTGAAGCAGAATTCTTTCTGTTTCCTTGGACAGAATTCTTTCTGTTTCCTTCAGTAGAATTCTTTCTGTTTCCTTGAGCAGAATTCTTTCTGTTTCCTGAAGCAGAATTCTTTCTGTTTCCTTGAGCAGAATTCTTTCTGTTTCGTTGGACAGAATTCTTTCTGTTTCCTTCAGCAGAATTTTTTCTCCTTCCTTCAGCAGAATTCTTTCTGTTTCCTTCAGTAGAATTCTTTCTCTTTCCTTCAGCAGAATTCTTCCTGTTTCCTTGTGTAGAATTCTTTCTGTTTCCTGAAGCAGAATTCTTTCTGTTTCCTTGAGCAGAATTCTTTCTGTTTCGTTGGACAGAATTCTTTCTGTTTCCTGAAGCAGAATTTTTTCTCCTTCCTTCAGCAGAATTCTTTCTGTTTCCTTCAGTAGAATTCTTTCTCTTTCCTTCAGCAGAATTCTTTCTGTTTCCTTGAGCAGAATTCTTTCTGTTTCCTGAAGCAGAATTCTTTCTGTTTCTTTGAGCAGAATTCTTTCTGTTTCGTTGGACAGAATTCTTTCTGTTTCCTGAAGCAGAATTTTGTCTCCTTCCTTCAGCAGAATTCTTTCTGTTTCCTTCAGTAGAATTCTTTCTCTTTCCTTCAGCAGAATTCTTTCTCTTTCCTTCAGCAGAATTCTTCCTGTTTCCTTGAGCAGAATTCTTTCTGTTTCGTTGGACAGAATTCTTTCTGTTTCCTTCAGCAGAATTTTTCTCCTTCCTTCAGCAGAATTCTTTCTGTTTCCTTCAGTAGAATTCTTTCTCTTTCCTTCAGCAGAATTCTTCCTGTTTCCTTGTGTAGAATTCTTTCTGTTTCCTTGACCAGAATTCTTTCTGTTTCTTGAAGCAGAATTCTTTCTGTTTCTTTGAGCAGAATTCTTTCTGTTTCGTTGGACAGAATTCTTTCTGTTTCCTGAAGCAGAATTCTTTCTCTTTCCTTCAGCAGAATTCTTTCTCTTTCCTTCAGCAGAATTCCTCCTGTTTCCTTGTGTAGAATTCTTTCTGTTTCCTTGGTCAGAATTCTTTCTGTTTCCTTGTGTAGAATTCTTTCTGTTTCCTTGGACAGAATTCTTTATGTTTCCTGAAGCAGAATTCTTTCTGTTTCCTGAAGCAGAATTCTTTCTGTTTCCTTGGACAGAATTCTTTCTGTTTCCTTCAGCAGAATTCTTTCTCTTTCCTTGAGCAAAATTCTTTCTGTTTCCTTGGCCAGAATTCTTTCTGTTTCCTCGGAGTGTGTTCACGAATCTTTGGAGAAAGTTCAATCCCGAGGAGGGCCTTGTCTTGCGGCTATCTTTAGCTTTCTTACTTTTCTTCACACATGCGTCAACGTTTGATGACCCCTTGCATTCTTCTGCAATTTCCGCCCCAGCCTCAGACGACACCTTCAAATTCTTGACTTGAGATATTGTTTTAGTTCCATCCAGTAGTGCCAGTAACATCCTCCACGACCACCGTTTCCTTCTCCCCTTCTCTGAATTCATCTGCCTCAACTTTTTCTTACCTATGGTCTTTTTTACTTGCGTTATTGTTTTCTTTCCTTTCAGAATTGTTTGCAACATCTTCCAAGCCCAGGTTGTCTTTACCCCATCATTTATCTTTTCCATTTCCTTCTTACAGCCCTCACTATCCGCAACACCCTTGCATTCCTCTTCTTCCAATTTCTCCAAATGAACTGCTTCTTCCACTTTCTTTTCTACGCTGACTTTCTCACCATTCTGTGACAGCAACTTTTTAAACCTTTCATCTCCTAACTTCTCCCGAACCTGTGATACTGTTTTGCTTCCTTCCAGGAGTGCCAGCAACATCCTCCACGCCCACCTTTTCCCTTTTCCCTTTTCTGACTTCATCTGCCTCAACTTTTGCTTGCCTATGGTCTCCTTTACTTGCACTATTGTTTTCGTTCCTTTCAGAATTGCTAACAACATCTTCCATGCCCACGTTGTCTTTTTCCCATCATTTATTTCCTCCATCTCCTTCTTACAAGCCTCACTGTCTGCAACACCCTTGCATTCCTCTTCTTCCAATTTCTCCAAATGATCTGCTTCTTCCACTGTTTTTTCTTCATTAACTTCCTCACCATCCTCCGACTGCAACTTCTTTAACTTTTGCTTTTTAACAGTCTCCCTAACCTGTGATATTGTTTTCCGTCCTTCCAGAAGTGCCAGCAACATCCGCCATGCCCATCTTTTCCCTTTTCTCTTTTCTGACTTCATCTGCCTCAACTTTTGCTTACCTATGGTCTCCTTTACTTGTGCTATTGATTTTGTTCCTTTCAGGATTGCTTGCAACATCTTCCATGCCCACGTTGTCTTTTTCCCATCATTTATTTCCTCCATCTCCTTCTTACAAGCCTCACTGTCCGCAACACCCTTGCATTCCTCTTCTTCCAATTTCTCCAAATGATCTGCTTCTTCCACTGTTTTTTCTTCATTAACTTCCTCACCATCCTTCGACTGCAACTTCTTTGACTTTTGCTTTTTAACGGTCTCCCTAACCTGTGCTATTGTTTTGCTTCCTTCCAGGAGTGCCAGCAACATCCTCCACGCCCATCTTTTCCCTTTTCCCTTTTCTGACTTCATCTGCCTCAACTTTTGCTTACCTATGGTCTTCTTTACTTGTGCTATTGATTTCGTTCCTTTCAGGATTGCTTGCAACATTTTCCATGCCCACGTTGTCTTTTTCCCATCATTTATTTCCTCCATCTTCTTCTTACAAGCCTCACTGTCCGCAACACCCTTGCATTCCTCTTCTTCCAATTTCTCCAAATGATCTGCTTCTTCCACTGTCCTTTCTTCATTAACTTCCTCACCATTCTGCGACTGCAACTTCTTTAACTTTTGCTTTTCAATAGCCTCTCTAACCTGTGATTCTGTTTTCAGTCCTTCCAGGAGTGCCAGCAACATCCTCCATGCCCAATGTGTCCCTTTTCTCTTTTCTGACTTCATCTGCCTCAACTTTTGTTTACCTATTGTCTCCTTTACTTGTGCTATTGATTTCGTTCCTTTCAGGATCGTTTGCAACATCTTCCATGCCCATGTTGTCTTTTTCCCACCATTTATTTTCTCCATCTTCTTCTTACAGGCCCCACTATCTGCAACACCTTTGCACTCTTCTTCTTCCAACTTCGCCAGAAGTTCTGCTTCTTCTGCTACCTTTTCTTCTATAACCTTTTGCTTTTTGATGGCCTCTCTGACCTCTGGTATTGTTTTGGTTCCTTCAAGGAGTGCAAACAACAACCTCCAGTCCCACTTCTTCCCTTCTCTCTTTTCTGACTTCATCTGTCTCAACTTTTGTTTACCTATGGTCTTTTTCACTTGCACTATTGTTTTCGTTCCTTTCAGGATTGCTTGCAACATTTTCCATGCCCAGGTTGTCTTTTTCCCATCGTTTATCTTTTCCATCTTCATCTTGCAGGCCTCACTATCTGCAACACCCTTGCATTCCTCTTTTTCCAATTTTTCCAAATGATCTGCTTCTTCCACTGTCCTTTCTTCATTAACTTCCTCACCATCCTTCGACTGCAACTTCTTCAACTTTTGCTTTTTAATGGTCTCCCTAACCTGTGATACTGTTTTCCGTCCTTCCAGAAGTGCCAGCAACATCCTCCGCGCCCATCTTTTCCCTTTTCTCTTTTCTGACTTCATCTGCCTCAACTTTTGCTTACCTATGGTCTTCTTTATTTGTGCTATTGATTTTGTTCCTTTCAGGATTGCTTGCAACATCTTCCAAGCCCAGGTTGTCTTTTCCCCATCATTTATCTTTTCCATTTCCTTCTTACAGCCCTCACTATCTGCAACACCCTTGCATTCCTCTTCTTCCAATTTCTCCAAATGATCTGCTTCTTCCACTGTCTTTTCTTCATTAACTTCCCCACTATTCTGCGACTGCAACTTTTTTAATTTTTGCTGTCCTAACTTCTCCCTAACCTGTCCTATTGTTTTGCTTCCTTCCAGGAGTGCCAGCAACATCTTCCACGCCCACCTTTTCTTTCTTCCCTTTTGTGACTTCATCCTCCTCAACTTTTGCTTACCAATGGTCTCTTTAACTTGTGCTATTGATTTCCTTCCTTTCAGGATTGCTTGCAACATCTTCCATGCCCACGTTGTCTTTTTCCCATCATTTATTTTTCCCATCTCCTTTTCACATGCTTTAGTATCTGAAACACCCTTGCACACTTCTTTTTCCAATTTCTCCAAATGATCTGCTTCTTCCACTGTTTTTTCTTCATTAACTTCCTCACCATTCTGCGACTGCAACTTCTTTAACTTTTGCTTTTTAATGATATCCCTAACCTGTGATATTGTTTTGGTTCCTTCCAGAAGTGCCAGCAACATCCTCCATGCCCACCTTTTCCTTCTTCCCTTTTCTGACTTCATCTGTCTCAACTTTTGCTTGCCTATGGTCTTTTTTACTTGCACTATTGTTTTCTTTCCGTTCAGGATTGCTTGCAACATTTTCCATGCCCAGGTTGTCTTTTTCCCATCGTTTATTTTTTCCATCTTCTTTTTACAGCCCTCATTATCTGAAACACCCTTGCATTCCTCTTTTTCCAATTTTTCCAGATGATCTGCTTCTTCCACTGTCTTTTCTTCATTAACTTCCTCGCCATCCTCCGACTGCAACTTCTTTAATTTTTGCTTTATAATGGCCTCCCTAACCTGTGCTATTGTTTTCCGTCCTTCCAGAAGTGCCAGCAACATCCTCCACGCCCACCTTTTCCCTTTTCTCTTTTCCGACTTCATCTGCCTCAACTTTTGCTTACCTATAGTCTCCTTTACTTGCACTATTGATTTTGTTCCTTTCAGGATTGCTTGTAACATCTTCCATGCCCACGTTGTCTTTTTCCCATCGTTTATCTTTTCCATTACCTTCTTACAGGCCTGACTATCTGCAACACCCCTACATTCCTCTTCCTCCAATTTTTCCAGATGATTTGCTTCTTCCACTGTTTTTTCTTCATTAACTTCCTCACCATCTTTCGACTGCAACTTCTTTAACTTTTGCTTTTTGATGGTCTCCCTAACCTGTGCTATTGTTTTCCGTCCTTCCAGAAGTGCCAGCAACTTCCTCCATGCCCACCTTTTCCCTTTTCCCTTTTTTGACTTCATCTGCCTCAATTTTTGCTTACCTATGCTCTCCTTTACTTGCCCGATTGATGTCTTTCCTTTCAGGATTGCTTGCAACATCTTCCAAGCCCAGGTTGTTTCTTTTCTTTTCTCTTTTACCAGATCCTTAGTTTTCTTTGGCCTCTTGTTCTGCAATTGCCTGTCCCTAAACATTTTTCTGAGTTTCAGAATCCTCTGCTGCCACTTTGTCTTTCTTGCCTTCCACTTTGCTTTTAATTTTTGTTTCCAAGCTTTATTTGATATTTTCTGAATCCTTTCTTTTTCTGTCGTGTCTGTACAGCCATTTATGTCTAACGCCCCTGCACACATCTCCTCTGACCATTCTGTAACATATGAAGGCAAGAAAAAACTGGTAACAAGTTGGTATGTGTTATTTTTTCATTCCCATTACTTAGGATCCAATACAGACAATTCCACAACAGACCTCACAAATATAATCACCCGCTGTCGTCCTACAGGCGTAACATGTCAAATCGCAAAAACGTGTAGGTAACAATGCTATTTCAGGAAAAAAGCCATTGCAAAAGATCATGAGAAAGAGAATGGTCCTTCCCATATGATGGATCTCACTGAGCAATACTCATCTAAATTCATCTACATGAAAAAGTACAAACCATAATGTAAGTTAACATTTTCATAATGATTTTGAAAAGGTTGCTATCTTTGTTAGCACACGCGATTTTAACATAACACGGGTACACTTTCGGTCAAAAGCTTGTCCCTCCGAAATGCATCTGTCACGGGGTTTTCAAACTGTTCAGGGGGAAAAGCTACACAAAAAGCACTCCTGAAAGCTAGCTGTGGTTTATCCCATTCATATGCACTAAAGACATTCGCAGACATTTCAATCTATGCAGAGTGTCAACAGGCGGCTGTGGTTGTGCTTTCAAGAGTGGGGACCCATTGCATATTATGATTGCGGATGTTATCTGGTATTCGTCTTTTGTCCATGTCCAAACTGAGACAGAATGTGTGATCCTGTGATAAGGTTGATCACCAACTTCTTGTCTAATCATATTTACAAGGACTGCTCCGATTTTTATCTGCCTTTATGAAGAACTTCATTTAAACTATATTTTCGTGTTCAAAAAGATTATACATCTGACAAAGAAACCTAAACACAATCGTACGTGTATATGTCTATATAAGAAAGGTGCGCCCGCTTTCAATCTCCTTCAATGAAATCAATTCTGCTGCGCCGTAACATACATCATAAACATTTGTCTGTCATTTAGAACATGGGCCCAATGCAATTTTACAGACTGAACTTGATGCATGGATGTTTTGTTCATACATGTACTTCCTGGAGGACCTGTGAATATTCGGGTTAGAATTGGCCTTCTGTAACCCATGCTTATCGTAAGAGGCGACTAACGGGATCGGATGGTCAGGCTCGCTGACTTGGTTGACACATGTCATCGTATCGCAGTTGCGTAGATCAATGCTCATGTTGCTGATCATTGGATTATCTGGTCCATATTCGATTATTTACAGACCGCCGCCATATAGCTGGAATATTGCTGAGTGCGGCGTAGAAATAAACCCACTCACTTCCAGGAGATTCCGGGATTCAACTGCACTGCATAACCCATGCTTGTCTTGGTCAGAATGAACACTTGGCTGAATGTATGTTCTTACAAAACGGCTGCTTGAGAAGTTGCTAATACTATCAACCACTGATCTCGGTTTCCCAGTCTGGAGTATTTAAATCCTGCCCAGTTATGGCTGGAATAAGATTTACTGTAATGCACTGTAACAAATAGCTTAAATGTTGCCCTGAATCTGACTAATAAAACGCTAACCTTCAGTTAATGGTTTCCTAGCGATTTCAACGTCAATATATACAACCGGTTGTTGAACCGTGCCCTCATCAGCTGCAAGACCTTCGTCAATCACAGATGTTAAAGTCACCAGTAATAGCAGGCACACGGAAATCACGTTTAGCAACATCACGCACTGAAATAAAAGGAACCAGATCACATAACATGCATCAAACAAATACTATGTCAAGATCCGTATACTTGAATTTTATACTGTAACATTTTAGAGGTCATTTTGATGGTCATCAGTTGAAGGTCACTGTAATATCAAGGGTCAAGGTCGGAAAATACGGAAAATCACACTGACAATCTACCAGTTGTTAGCTACTAATATGTGTTCACAGGCTGATGATGGAAAGCTGCATGTGGGAACTATCCTATCAGAGTTTGAAGACAAATGAAGTAAAAACGACTTGATTTCCTCCCAACAATGGATCAGCTATCGCATTCGCGCACGTCTGTGTGTGTCTGTCTGTGAGCGTCGGCGTATGTTTGTGATTGTGTGTATGACTGAAACTATTTCCAGGACAAACGTCCCTGGGCACCCTCTGAAAATTAAGTGATCGAAAAAAAAACATAGAGCCTCGGGGCCATTTCTGCATTCGTAAGAACCTATAACCGTCACAGGCAATATGGATAGCGTCCTTGTACAGGCAAAACTTTCACATGATTTTGAATGATGTCTTTCTTTCCTTGTTATGTCATTGTCTAATGCGGCACTCATAATCGAATCTGGTCAAGTCAACCATTGATGTATTTCAAAACCAAGATCTAACGTCACCCAGGTATGATGACACTATTTAAGTAATTGACCGTAACCACATCATACAAACAAACGTCTCCTCCAAATGTAGAATGCGGGGGACACAGAATCCTCATTGTGATGGATTTCGAATAATCTGTGGAGGCGTTTAAATGATTATTGTGAGGGTTTCGTAATACCATAGTGAGGCTTTTTCATGATCATTCCGAGATTCATAGTGACGATTTTGCATACGAGTTATCAAGAGCATTTGTACCTTCCATTCAATGTGAAAATGCCAATTATCAGAGAACATCATGGAATTTTAGGGATACAAACGATTTCATAATACCCAAACAGACATGATATATTTTCTAAGCAACTGCTACAACTCTCAACCACTGTTGATCACAGCCTCAATACCCATCATACATAAAAGTGTGTACTTACTTTGCAGGGAGATCCATGAAGGTTTGACAATGAGTGGCTAGGTGGCTAGTTTCAGGCTTTGTGATAACTTCTTTCAGCCAATCAAAAAATATGCAGGTGGTGCAGTCACTCCTGGAACCTTAAACGCATGTAATTATTATCCGCAAGAGGAATAAGCATGGCGATGTGTGACTGTTGTGTTATTCATGATCACATATGTATGATGATCTTTTGGTATGTATTATAGTATGAGGTTAACGAAAGTGGACTTGCATAGAATACAGACGTTTTGCGATGATATTGTGTCTACAGAATCGTTACTGAGAAGCCGTAAAATTTAATTGTTTTATGCAATTTTAAAACTTAACACCTTCGGGTAAAAGTGCTTCAGGGGCCATTTATAACTGATGCTGCCATTCTGGAGGTCATCATGTGACAGCATTGTATTTGACAACCTATCGTTAAATCAGCATGATGCATTGTCATTTAGGCTTCAAAATAAGATTTTACTGCAGTGTGAGATTTATGCCCAGGTGGTAAAATACTTAATGTTTAGTTGAGAAAAATAGAACATCTTTCATTTATGGTTTGAATGCTATATATGATAATCCTCTGTATTAGGAGATGCATGTGAAGTAGTACTTTATACGCATATCGTACAATGGTGGTGAAATGCGTCATCCCTTTCTCTGTCTTCAAAATTGGATGTGTTTGGCAAGAAGGCAACTGCATTATTATCAGTTCAAGTTGTATGATTCAAATTGATCTTTCGTAAACACGATTAACAACGGATTTCACGTCAGAAAAGTTGTTACGCACCATAGCAACTCACATAACATCAAATTCGACCGCCGAAAATGTAATATCTAATCGAGTCTATTCAGACGAAAATGACTGAAGGTGTTCGCAGGCTGTTGTAATGACCCTGACCGTTTCGCGTTTTCTGTATAACCGACAATAGACAGTGTGCGCCTCATACAGAGTTACAGCAACTGTTTTTGCTTATATTAACCGTTGCATCTTTCCATACATTTTCATGAGGACATAATAATATGTACGTGCATCATGTGCACGAACAATTTGTTTGCGTGTTTCTAAGAAGAATGACACTGAAATACTGATAATTGATTAGTTATTTGGTATTTATCCAAACACCTTTTTTGACTGCTTACTACACTTTCCAGTTATCCAGACATTATCGATAGCAGGGGAATGATAATGGCTTGCCGGTCGTCTATGACTCGAGTTGAAAAGGCATACATGTTTGGTTATATGTCTCAAAAGACAAAACTGTTGACAGATGTTTCCAGCCCTGGTGGTCGTGCCATAGTTTACGGGGCATCTAGGTGAAGGTTTTAGAGACACTTTAGTTACTCTTTAGAGTCTGGGGACGGAAGTATAATGTTTATTTGTTTGTCGTTCAACGCCACACTCAGCTATATTCCAGCTATATGGCATAGGTCTGTAAATAATGTGGGGCATGATGTGGGGAGCCATATCCTACACAGGTAGATCAGACCGAGCTGGTGGTGGTTCAACGCAATCTTACAGCGAATCGCTACATCGAACAAATCCTGCGATCTCACCTCCCACTTTTTAACCGCCCTAGGGAGCTGTTTCAACACGACAACGCTCGACCCCTCACAGGTCGTGTAACAGGTGCCTATGCAAACGTCAATATCCTTTCATGGCCTTCCAAATCGCTTGATCTGAACCCGATCGAGCATCTATGGGACGAACTTGATCGACGCGTCGTAAATGTCACCACCGTCCTCAGACACTTGTAAAACTTGCAATCGCGTTGCAGGAGGAATGGCGAAGAATCCCCCAAGCAGACATCCGACGACATGTGCAATCTCTTCCAAGGCGGTGTCGAGCAGTGACGGCTTCAAGGGGTGGTGTCACCAGGTACTGACCTGAGCGCCCTCCTGAGTCCACACATGTGCAGTGAGTGAACTGAATTAATGCTCATAATGATAACAATACATAAGTTCATCCGTGTGTCGAATTCCCTTCATCTATGTTCAAGCTTAATCGTCTTATGTACAGTTAAATACGTTTAATACACTTCCTTATTTTTGGTATATGTGTGTCTTTTCTTGAAGAGTATATATAGTGTTCTCGTGCCTTTTACGAATCAGTTGCATGTAGCCAGATGACAACCCCAATCTACCTAGTTCAGCATTATCCTTGCTGTGACCAGAGCCTTCTGCGACTGCAATGATGATGAGACATATATTTGTGACTTTGCGTTGCGTTTGTTTTAAACATATTTTATTCACAGAGAAAAGGATTAGGAACAAGTTCTCCAACTTAGAATGCCCTCTCCTTGGTATGTACATAGGTAATTTAGATTCCCGCAAATAAAGATGACAGATAGTGGACAAGAAAGTATAATATAACTAACACGAGATAGAGCTTATACAGAATGATATCAAAATACTATACAAATCGTTTTGTCTCACTAATGAACGATTGCACTAACTTAAAAACATTTGTATTTTCACATGATGATAGGTCTGCACTTCCTTCTAACAAAAGTTTAAGGTCAACTGAAATACCTGCGTTTGGAAGAGACCAGTGTGTTCAGGCTGGTTTAGAAATACCCTCCTCCCAAATTCTGAAATGACGATGAATATAGAGAACAAAAAGGTTCGACACACATTATGTCCAGAACAAAGTATCCAAAAACAGCTTTTATACTGTGTTTTACTGTTACAATGAACATTATTATCATACGTATAATTATACACAAGCTGAGCGAGCAAGGTTTTACGCCGTTTTTGACGCAGCAATATTCCAGCAATATCACGGCGGGGGACACCAGAAATGGACTTCACACATTGTACCTATGTCGGGAACCCAACCAGGAAATGCTCAATTAGTGATATTAGTGAAATGATTTCCTGCACAGATAAATTCTGAACTTGATAAAGTTTCACCAATGATGAATTGTTTAAGGAGTTACAAATACCGATTATCAAGAAAAACACTATTCGTTATGTATAAATCCTTTATTCTGCCATTATTTGATTATTGTAGTATTACATGTATATGGGATAATTGTACAGTTAGCCAGGCATCAATGCTTGAAACACCACAGTTTGATGCACTAGAACAATATGTGGGGCGACAAGGGGAACAAGTCATAATAAATTATATTCAGAAACTGGTCTCTTTCCTCTGGTAGAAAGAAGGCCCATTAAGAAATTAACTATCACTAAATTGCTAAATCATTTTCACCCAGTACTATTGGACTTTGGAATTCTTTGCTTGAAGAACTCCGACTTAAACAATCACCAGGTGAATTCAAGAATAAGATTACATCATATTGTAATACTTCATTTGGGTTTGATATCAACATTGGAAACAGGTTCTGTCAAATAATCGACTGCAGACTCAGATTAAAATGCAGCGATTTAAATGCCCATAAAGTAAGTAGATTTATATCCGATAACTCATCATGTACTTGTTGTGCTGTCTTTGAGGACACCCCTCATTATCTTTTTATATGTCCTAACTATGATGCTATAAGAAACGATTATTTAATATTTCAAACATGAATATTACATAAATGACGCTCTATATGGTAACCAAGAATTACCTAGATCTATAAATCATGATATTATCAAATCAGTACATAACTTTATTATAACTTCAAGAAGATTTAATCAATCTTAAGTTTTCATCGGGCCCTTTGCAGAATAAATATGCTTAAACCGAATTTTCATATTACAAACAAACGCGCACACACTTGCATACTTCTTAAATCGTGTCGCATTGTAGATATAGACTATAACCCTTAACCAAAGGCTCACGCTTCAGTGGCTAATGCTAATTACCTGGCTCGCATCTCTCACCTAGCCATAGTGCAATGTTGTCTTAGCAAGACCTTTTCTGGTTAGACTCTGGTTAAGTGAGAGGGAACCCCCGTGTCTTCAGCGTGACAAGCGGACACT